CAATGTTCACTTCAGCAGCATTTATTGTGGCTCTGGGGATGTTTTGAAGAGCAATCTGTTTCAGTAATTACAGAGCACCAAGCTTCATGCATAATCATCCTTATGAATTATTATACCCAGAGTCAAATCTGGTTTCTGAGTAAAGACTGCTCAGATGTAAACATGTAGGACGGGACATTACATGCTCCACATTCAGACTGCAGGGGCGTGGCTGTCTGTGGGATGTACAGTTTGGTTCTGTTACACAGTAATAATGAAACTGTTTTGATGGGACGACACAATCTCATGAGCTAGGATATTTACTTGTGCCTGGTTAAAGACATGCAAACTGAGTCTGTTCCAATACTTTATTTAACTGTTCACATTAGCAGCTACATATAATTAAAGATATTAGTGTTTGCATTGTAAAGTCTGTTAACAACATGTTTTATAGGGCTTCATTTGTGTCAGTATTATTTTTCAGAACAGATCACCAAGCAGTAGTGCAGGTTATTGTACACAAATGTGTGCTAGGTAATATAAATAGAACCAATTCAAACACCGTAACTCTCAGTGTCACATCTACATATTCAAATAAAGAATGCATGTTTCTAGCTGCTGGGTATTTCAAACACTGTGTGTAAAATGCATATCCACACACGTAGAATTGAAAGCCACCAAGGCCTTCTTGTTAATGTGTGTTGTAAAGGTGATACAAATATATTTACAAATACTTATAATTGACTACAAATCAATGTACTCCCGACTGTGGGGCGACTGGGGCTGCGAGGGAGTGATTGCCTTGTGGGTTCAATCCCAGCCCGTGCAGCCAACATGTCGATGTTTCCTTGGGCAAGATACTTAACGAATGAATGAGGTGTGAAAGGGTGAATGACTCGTAGTATGTAAAGCGCTTTGAGGGGGTGGAAAAGACATGTTTTCAGAGATTTTTGGGGGATTTTGTGGGTGGTATTTTTGTTTTAATTTGCAGATCCGTTTGTTTGTGGAAAGTGTTTTACATTACACACGGATTGTCCATCAAACCGGGTATATGCAGGAATCCTGAAGTCAAATTTAATACCTTTTAAGACCTTTTTTAAGACCCTTTCCATACATTTTAAGACCTCATCGCCACTTCAAGTTGCATTTCCCCATAACGATATTTCATAACGCAGTGAGCGTGCGATGTCCTGTTCAGATGACGTCAAATCCAACGGGATGCCATAAATAAACTACACAGAATCACACTACACAACTACGCAATGATTAAATTCAGGCAAACTTTAGAATACAACCTCTTTGTACAATTTATATAGTTATTGAAAATAAGCTAAAAAATGTAATACCTTGGAGAATGCCGTTAAATACTTTTCAATAGCCTTCATTTTCGCTAAATTGATTTATCAACTTTTAATACTTTTTAAGACCCCACGGACACCCTATCAAAGAATGTTAAGACAATCCTCCATAATGACCGAGTGTTCTGTGTGGTACATCTAAAAATGAACGTGACATCCTATGAGCCTATGAACAGACAGAATGAACAACACACTGATGCTGTATATAAAGTTGGGCGCGAGGGGGGGGGTGCAGGGGAACTGTTGTATTACACCAGAGCCCGGTCCAGTTTCTTTTTTGTATATTATGATGGTATTAACACTATTGGAAACAAAGCACTATCTTAAGTGATTATTTTTAATAGGGGAAATATTTTCCTTTTTTATGATGTGTAAATGATGGAGATTGATGACTAGACATGATGACTAGAAGTTTTTCCTTGTACGATGTGAGGGTCTAAGGACAGAGGGTGTCGTATTGTCATACTGATATTCTGTACAAACTGTGAAGTCCACTGAGACAAATGTAACATTTGTGATATTGGGCTATATAAATAAACATTGATTGATTGATTGATTGATTGGTTGATTGATTGATTGGTTGATTGATTGATTGATTGATTGATTGGTTGATTGATTGATTGATAGACAGACATGTTCTTTCTCTGATGAGATATTTTCAACCTATTCATTGTTGGATGGTTATGATCCATTTGAATCATCATAAATTAGCTGAAGGTGTTTAATGTCTGAATGACTGTAAAAATAAACCTTGGTAAGGGGACACATACTGTAGTACTGCTATGCTTTCACAGAGTTCACGAGGTTACGTGTGTGTTTGGCACCGCCTACTGGTCAATGTGTAAATAGTTAAACCACTATCAACATCATTTATAGAATTGTATACAATTTGGAGATATCTGGTTATTTACAGAATGTCAGGAACTGTTATTCACTGTAGAAAGTTTATCCTTCATCTACTACATTATAATTAAGTTTCAATTTGTTGGAGAGATATCTACCGAAATGAGCATGCTAACTGACTAACCCCTCCCCATTCACAATTAGTGAGCAGAGGTTGGCCCGTCTTATTACTGTCCTGCCACAGCCAAAGTAACTGGATTTTTTGTCAGAGCATTTGATTTACTAAATACTCGATTCAACCTAGCTTTTTTTGTAAACTTTAAAGCTGATTTTATTTTTACCAAATGTAACTATTTGGCTCATCTTCCTATAAAATCTCTGTGGTTTATTAAAAGAACATTTTAAGTCTTAAACTGTTGATGAGTGTTCAGAGGCATACCTTACTTCTTCTCCAGCGAAGTCAAACACTTGGGTGATGGTGACTTTAGCAGGTTGAGGAGCTTTGGTGTCTTTACTCGAGGGAGCAACCTTCAATACTGAGATATCCTCCTGAGGAGGAATAAAAAACATCAGTATATGGGAGGGACAAGGATGAGACACATAATCAATGCTTTACATGTGATATTGTTATGCAACTTTAAAAAAAAATCATATCCCAAGTCAGGGACCGGAGGAACGTGGAACAGACAATAAAACAACCACTTTGCTTCCCTCTCTGTTTATCCAGGTTTATAACCATTTTAAACATGGCCTTCTGTGACTTTATTTAGTTTTTTATGTTTATTGTATGTACACAACAAACTATGAACTATGGTGTATGAAAGGAGATATGGAGAAGGGTGAACATTTATTTCAGACGAGTTCTTATTTGTAGAAAAAGCAAGCGGCTGTTCGAGACCAATTTTAGTCGGGGGGGGGCCTGATGGGGGCTGTTCTGTATGAGTGTTGCACATTAAATGCAGGAAAAAGGAGAAAAAGAGCATCTTCTAAATGTTAACATTTTTAGTTCAGCGTAAAGTCATGCTGCACAGAAGAAACATAAAATACCATGATTGGTGTTTGTTTCAGTTACAGAATGTGCCTCAGTAACTTAGTGAAGAGGTATTTAATGTAATGCTGTCAAAATTATCGCGTTAACGGCGGTAATTAATTTTTTGAATTAATTGCGTTAAAATATTTAACGCATTTAACGCATGTGCAGAATGGCCCGCCCCATACATCCCACCAGTGGCAGCGCCAGGGTATGGCTGGGGTAGGCTACACCCATACCAAGAAATGGCTTAGCCCCACCATGAAAAATGATGTTAAAGTAAGCTAAATAAAGTCTGCCCAAATGTACTCGGTGACCTGCTTGTGGTAGTGATAGACAGAAAGTATAAAGTAAACTATAAAATGTGTTTCAACAATCTTCTGTAGGGCTCGAAATTACAGAAGTTTCTGTACACCTATGTCTTCACGCCAAACGGTCTCTCTTTTCGTTAGGGAAGAAAAAATCACCGTGTAATCTAGACCGACAGTAGTCGTATGTTACCCTTCCTCTATGGTAACCGAAGGAGTTCTACCTTGGGTCCCCCAGTCGTCCTGCTTACTCTTTTCCGTCCCACCGGAATTTTTAACTTGGACCACCTTGGGGTATACGTGTCACCTCGTCCACCTTGAGCTCTTGGCCAAACCCTGGTTCACGAATGCGTAGTACCAAGACAGACGGTCTACTCCTAGAACTTGTCCAGGTTCCGTTCTATGGTCTTTAGTGACGTGGGATACCGACCATTATCCTCGTGTTATTTACAACAATCAGGTGTCACTAGTTTTCGGCGTCAATTTTAGGTTCCTACTGTTCTTAAGTGTATCAGGGTCTCAGTAAACCGCTTCCTCCTACAGTAAATTTTTGAGAATCCATTCCGACTGAGACACGGATACGTCACAACAAATTTGTCTGACCTTTTAGGAGGTCTGTAGTACAGGAGTAGGTCGTTTTACCTAAAATTAACACTATTATGGTGGAATGAAAAGATCACTAGCAAACTTTATTTTACCGTCAAGACTCACCGAGATTACAAACCGATCGTGTGGTCCTAGTTCTGGTCCACAGAGGATTCGTCCCACGTGGTGTCGTACAATTGTTGAAACCCTGTTATGGTCTTGCTGTCTGACGACATTTATTGCCGGGTCTTTGCTGACGGGATATGATCCTTTTGGAGAAATTTTTACATCCTCCTCCGCGTAGTCTCAGTGTTCCTCTTGGACTACCGAAAAATTAGACCGGTTGGTGTAAGAAGATATCAAAGGTAAGCTCTAGTGTCCAAGTTTGTGTAGTTTGTGTCGACTCCTTCCTTGTCCCAGTCTCCCAAGGCTACGTCACCTTCTCTCTAACTACGGGAATGTCCTCCATTGGACATAGTCTACGCATTCACGTTCTTAACAATGATAGTAAAGCACCCTTCGGAGACACATGGCGTCCGACCCCACCCCAATTCTTTGTCCAATGTTACCAAAATTTATATGATGTGCGCACACACACACTGCTAATCATCAGCTAATTCTCACAATCATGTCCTTAGACAGAGACCGTTTTTTTGTACAAAAGTCTGATTTTAAAGGTCTGTTACACCAAACCTACGATGGCTATTAGTTAGAATTGATTACCGACAGACACGTTAAGANACAGCCTACGAAGAGGACCAAGCAAACACACCAAACTGCATCAAAATCCATTGGTTTATCAATAGAAATGTGTAGCAACATTTCATAGAAGTCATGTAATGATTCATTACGTTTTTATAGTTAACTCATTACATGACTTCTATGAAATGTTGCTACACATTTCTATTGATAAACCAATGGATTTTGATGCAGTTTGGTGTGTTTGCTTGGTCCTCTTCGTAGGCTGTATCTGCCAACCAAGGAAACTATTTGACAATCTAAAAGTATTAACGCCAGCTAGATAAACAGGAAGATGAAGCAAGTGTTTCACAAAAAGCATATTCCTACTGCTCTCTTTATAAGTCAGTCATAACTTGAATGACTGGGTGTGGCAAAATGTTTCCTTTCAGTTTTTTAAGATTTGTATCTGTGTTTCTCTGTGTCAGTTTGTGTGTGAGTGTGTTTCTTCCAGGCTGTCATGGCAGCAGTTGGTTCCCCAGGGCCAAAGGTCCCTGAATGTGTGACCAAAGTGGCACTGAGCATTTCCTGTGAGAATCTGCTCGACATGGATGCATTCTCAAAGTCTGACCCTCTGTGTGTGCTCCTCATGAACTCCTCAGGGCCTCACTGGTGTGAGGTAAGCGTGTTTAAAAAGTTGATCTAAAAATTCAAGAAATATCCTCATTCTTATGGATCTATTTGCTGTCATTTTGGACATGTCAGCACCTGCTGTGAGTCAAAAGAGTTTCTGATTCTGTATAAAAAAGGTATTTTTTTATCTTTTGTATCTGTTTTAGATTGGCCGGACAGAGAGAATCATGAACTGCTTAAATCCAAAGTTTTCCAAGAGTTTTGTCGTCGACTACTACTTTGAGATGGTGCAGAAGCTGAGGTTTGAAATGTACGACATTGACAGCGAAAACTGCAGTCTGCAAGATGCAGACTTCCTGGGAGAACTGGAGTGCACCATGGGACAGGTTAGCACATTTGCCTTATTCTTTTTCTGTTGAATTATTATTTTAGATTGGTGTTGAGGCTGTGACATATCCAGTGACTATGTGATTCAGAAAAGGGTGTTTCTGTCCAGGTTGTATCCTCAAGAAATATAACAAGACCACTTGTCCATAAGGACAAGAGACCTGCAGGGAAAGGGACCATCACTGTGAGTCATATTGGATTTAAATTGTCAATAAGACAACTGTCATAATTGTCTTATGCGGTTATTTGTAACACAATGCTGTTGCATGTTTTGTAGATATGTGCTGAAGAACGAACAGACAACAGGGTGGTGGATTTTGAAGCTGAAGGTAGAAAACTGGATAAAAAGGTATTGATTGCTTCGGAATCAAGTTTCAAATATTGTATATGAACCTACTGGAGTTAAAGATGTTGAAATGACCATAGGGTTATTGCTGAAAGCTTTGTACAGCCGGATGCATTATTCATCCATCTAGTGTGAAACACGTTGATATAGTGCTCCCCAACACTGAGTATTATTGGGTTATTTATTTATTTATTTGAACCTCCTATTATTTTCTTACTTATTTCCAGGATTTCTTTGGCAAATCCGACCCTTTCCTGGAATTCCACAAACAGACAGAAACTGGATGGCAGCTCGCTCACAGGACAGAGGTACAGATATACTCGCTGTGTAGCATGCTTCACATCATTACTATATATCGTGCCCAAGGATACATGGGCGCATAAAGTCATAACCAGAATGTGTATTGACAGTTTGGAGTTTACAGTTGATGCATGTCACCTTTCAGAGTGTTTTTTTAATCTGTACTGTCATGCAGGTGGTGAAAAACACCCTGAACCCAACATGGAGACCCTTCCGCATCCCGCTTCCGGCCCTCTGTGGAGGCGATGTGGAGAGACCTATAAAGGTACACACACACACACACACACACACACACACACACACACACACACACACACACACACACACACACACACACACACACACACACACACATCCACTCTGACTGTAGGGAATTGTGAATGATGACACGGCAGCCTTTATCTACTGTCAGTCTTTCATGCTGGCGTATTATCAGTTTTTCATTCAGTGATGGATTAATTTGCTGAATAAATTATAATTTGTTATAGAAATTGTTATTTATTATGTGTTATCCAATTTTCATTTTTTAAATATCACAGTTGTCGTAATACACCTATAGCAGGTCAAGCCTATTTCAAAAATGTATATATGGTGTGTTTTTTCAGCTCCACTGAACGTCAACAAGGAAAAACAAACATTTTTGATCACTAATGGAATTACATTTTGTTCTGTAAGATCACCAAAAGACTGAATCAAAACCACAATAGAACCCCCCGGCTATGTTTCCTTGATTGTCTAGATAAGGACATGTTTTTTTTTAGCATTTAGTTTATGTATTTTGTGTTTTCTTTCCAATCTCTAACCCTCTAAAAGCACACTTGTCTGGAAGAGCTGCTTCCCAGTCTACGGTGAAAGTGAGTTTACTGTCTCCAGCGTGAGTGCTTCACGTGTAGGATGCAGTGTCTGTGACAGGACAGAGACCTTTACACTCTAGCATCTATCTTACGAACTTGAGGAGTGTGGCTTGTTGGTCAACTTACCTGTTGAATGATGCGAGTAAAGTGAGTCACTGGTTGAACATTGACTTTTGTCAGACAATGGGGCACTAGCATGAACTCAGAATAAGAACTTAAAGTATGTATAAAGCTACATTTGAAGTCAAAATAGAACAAAATCCAAGGTGCTGAATAGGTATTATGAGGTTGCTAATTTGCCTTTCTACATAGCACATACAGCATATGTGTTATAAAAAACTGATCTCATATTTTTTTGATCATGATGGGATAAATCAGGTATTTAACATTGAATATATTTGTATGTCAAAGGATATGAAATGTATATATAACCACAAGTGCTAGTGGCCTACTAACATAGCATACTAATTTAAATAACCTGATAATTATGTATTCACAGGTAAGTCGACCAACAGATCTTCCGTAAAGATAGATACCTTTTTGACTTATTCATGAGCTTTCTTAGATATCCACCCTGTAGCCTGACTGTAGCATCACACAGTTTGTTGCTCCATGCTGTGTCTTCACCTGTCTGTTTCCTGTTTCCTCAACAATGAAATCACCACTGTGTCTCTAAAAGGTAGTTCCCCTTCCAGTAAAAGGCTTGCGTGTGTTTCTCTTAGATTTATCAATATCAGGGTGTTACATCTGTACTTCAACCCCAAAGCATGCTTCTGTCTCATCTGCTTTGATGTTCACACACTGATGATAGTTAAATAAGTAAAATACAAAATGTTTGCTCAAGAGAATTGACTGGATTTGTCTTGTTTCTCCCAACTGTCTGTCTCTCTCAGGTGGATTGTTATGACTACAACAGCAACGGATCTCATGATTTCATTGGATGTTTTGAGACAACACTCGCCCAAATACAGCAGGGATCACAAACATATGCGGTGAGATCTCTCGCTCTTTCTTGGTGTTTTGGAACTTATTGGATGCATTAATAAAAAAGGGTCTCCCTGACACTTGGTATTGTGTTTGTTCTCTTCTCAGGCCGAGTTTGAATGCATCAACAGTAAGAAGAAACAGAAGAAGAAAGGATACAAAAACTCTGGTGTTATCGTTGTTAAAAAATGCAAGGTATTTTGGTTTTAAATAGATTTTTTATTACGTAACAAATACTTTCATTTGTTTAGTATATGCGTACTCCATCTAAAGGAATTTGCAAGAATAAAAGTGGTTAACAGTACTGCAATGCTGTAGCTGATCATGTAAGTTGTGATATACATTTTATGAACAGGTAAATAATATTTTGTTTCTAAAATGTCTTTACAGATAGTCAAGGAGTATACCTTTCTGGATTACATAATGGGCGGCTGTCAGATTAACTTCACTGTGAGTACTACACATGTTTTTGAATCCTACAAAAAAACAACTATCCCTGATATTTGCATTATATGTTGTTTGTACCGTTCATATTGAGGATTTAATGTGTTTAGGAAACAATAATTATGATGTTAACATTATCTACATTTTTACGAGTCTGTGTTTTTTCCATCCACCCATGGCCAGATTGCGATTGACTTCACAGGCTCCAACGGGGATCCCAGCTCCGCTCAGTCCCTCCATTACATCAACCCTCAGGGCTATAATGAGTACCTGGCTGCTATCTGGGCAGTGGGTAATGTCATCCAGGACTATGACAGGTACATAGATTGTTATATATAAAGTATCATGGTGGTATGAGAAACAGGGCATGGATATAGCGTGTACATTTCTTATTTTCCGTCATGGCTGAATGGAGCTTTGAGGAAAATTAACATTGAAAGTCTGCGGCTCGAGTCTAATCCTTTGTTGTGTTTCACTTCCTGTAGTGACAAGATGTTCCCAGCTTTCGGATTTGGAGCCCAGCTTCCTCCTACGTGGCAGGTGATTATTTGTTTGGGTTACAACTTGCTTGAATATTAGTTTAGCACTATCTCCATGTCATAATTACATTTCTTTATACATGACAAAGCGTGTCTTGGATGTATGTAAACGTTGGTGCTGGATCCAGCCTTATAATTGATTGCATGGTACAAAACTAACATCATTTACAAAATGCTGGTTAGATTTGAAATCCTTATCAGCCCAAATAATTAAATGTTAACCAATTGAGTGGAATATGTCTTGGCCGGCAGACCAAAACATGTAACATTGAACCCGGTTGTTTGTGTTTCCAGGTCAGCCACGAGTTTCCCATTAACTTCAACCCAGCAAACCCATTCTGTGAAGGTAATAATAAATAGTCTTTAGATAACGGGACATGCATATTTAGCTTTTCTCAGAAGTAGTGTGGCGCTGTACAACATGAGAGCATTTGTTGGAACGTTTGGCGTTTGATGTTTGAAGCACTGACTGATAAGAGAACATTTTGCAAACAAATAGAGTTAAGCAAAAATTGATTTGCAGCTTCCAATCACTTTGTACAGAAACTTGATTTGGCAGTTTTCCTTCGGCCCATACATTGATCTTCATGTTGCAGAGTGCTATCTATTTCCAATCATGCTAAGTTACATGGAAATATATATCAAATAATGCTCTAAGATCTGTATTTGTGTTTTTTTTTCCAGGCATAGAAGGCGTGGTCAAAGCCTACCAGTATTGCCTCCCCCAGGTGAAGCTTTACGGTCCCACAAACTTTTCCCCCATCATCAACCATGTGGCCCAGTTTGGCAAGCAGGCCATGCAGCAGGAAACTGCCTCTGTGAGTCGCTGGGAGTCTAATATCTGCCAAACTGATGGCTTTTGTAGCACGGGATGACACAGTCTCAATCAGTTGTTCTTTTCCACACAATACAAGGTGAAAACCCCTTCCCTTTTTAAATATAATTCTTGTTTTGTTCCTTTTATGTCAATAATCCACAGCAATACTTTGTGCTGCTGATCATCACTGACGGAGTGATCACAGACATGGACCAGACTCTCAGAGCCGTCGTCAACGCCTCTCGTCTGCCCATGTCCATCATCATCGTCGGAGTAGGTGGGGCGGACTTCAGTGCCATGGAGTTCCTCGATGGAGACGATGGATTTTTACGCTGTCCTACAGGCGAGACTGCCATGCGGGACATCGTGCAGTTTGTGCCATTCAGACAGTTCCAAAATGTAAGCTATCTCATAGAGCAAAGTCTTTGTAGGCACATTAGCTTCGTTAAAATCATTAAACAACGTGTCTAAATATCTTATTTCAGGCAGGCACTGCAGCCCTTTCCCAAAGTGTACTGGCAGAGTTGCCTGACCAAGTGGCCTCCTTCTTCAATAAATTTGACCTGAAGCCCCCCAGCGAGCCCACTCCCTCGTAGAAATGTAGGAGCACCCGCAGCGTTTCACTTACCCTTTGTCCATTCTTCTTCCACGCATTAGTTCAAAGGTGCATGTATAACACTAGAAGCATAGTTCTACAACCTAGTTAGCTTAATTCACCAAGCTGTTTATTCCACTGTTTTTAGAACCTTTCCATTTGACAGTATATGGGACATTATGTCATCACGTACTGCAGGGTGTGGACTGCTGAAAACTCTAACTGAAAAGTGCTCTTACAGGGCTTTTTTTGTGAGGGAGTGAGCAGCAATTTCCTGGAGTGTCCACTGTGGTCCTGGCAACTGCTCAGTGCCTTGGCTTTGAGATTTTACAAGGCACATAATGCTCCATACAACATGTAAATGGTTCATTTACATGTTGTTTTTTAGACGCATAAAAAAAAAAATGCGATATACGATTGGATTGTACCATATGTACTTTTCTTTTTGTCTGTCGTCATTTGTTATGATCCTTAGTTTATACAGGAGCTTGCTTCGCTTTGCTCACAACAACTGACAGTAGACTGTTATAAATGAAGCTCTGAACTATCCAATACAGCCCTAATATAACATAAACATGAGATACAAGCTGTTTCCCCGTCTGCTGTCTTTGTCTTACACTAAACTAACGAGCCGTATCCCTAGTGTTCAGATATAAGCACATTCAGCTGTTTCCCCTGCCGCTGACTCCTCGTAATTCTCTCTCTACTCCCTCTCTTTAGGCTCCTCAGGAAATGCTGGCTCAGAGCGTCTTGGCAGAAGTCCCGGGTCAGGTGGTGGGCTTCTTCAACAGCGTGAGATTGAGACCACCTCAAGGAGACACACCTCTCCCTGACCCCGCAGCATCAGCACCCCCCCCGTGATGTATTCTCAATATACTACATGAGCATGCACCATCAAGTCTGGGACTCATGGTATGATTTGTAAATACTTGTATGCACTAATAATATAAAGCCATTATACACTGATACGGTATGCCATTTCTTAAATGTTTTTTAACATGTACTTAACACAGATGTATTGTTAATGTAACATAAGACTTAATTAGACCCTCCAGAAAAACGCGGGCTAAATTCCTTGATTATGCGGGCTAAAATCCTTGATTATGCGATTAAACATGCGGGGTTTTATGTGATTTTATGCGGTGAAATTGCGGGAACTTAGGAAATATGCGGAAAGTTGCGAAATATGCGAAATATGCGGGGGAAAAGAATAACAATTTTTTTAAATATTGGGCTGTCTTATTTATTCTCTCTCACACACAACCTACCACTAACGTTAAACCCCTTCACTATTCAATTAAACACATTCAATGTTTATTTATTGTAAAAGCAATTGGGCTATTTTAATCTCACACACACACCACCCCACTTCTCCGCCTCATTCTGTTTTCATTTACTCGTTCGTTATCTGACCAGCTTCAATCTTGTAGGCTACTCACTTCGTTTCTTGTAGCCCTCGAAAGGGTTTTGGAGGTTGATCCCTCGGTGAACGGGAGTTGAATGGCTTTCTTGGCCGCAGCAGCAGAAAGCATTTTCGAATGTTTGAATGAATCAAAGTAGGTCGCCACCGTCGATTTTCTCTTATGCTGCAAAACACAGTTGCACGGGGTGCAGAATAGTTTCCCCCCACTTTTTGCCCGGTCTTTAGTAGAAATGTTCGTTGCTAAATGAGCTCTATACAGTGTTGTTTACATTCTGTGATGCGCGAGCTGATGACGTCACGTCAAGACGAGTTAACTTTTTTTTCTTCTCAACTTTGTGTGGAAAAATGCGGGGATTATGCGGCCTTTTGATAAATATGCGGCTTTTTAAAAATCTGCGCCATTTTGCTGATTATGCGGTAAATTCTGCGATCGCAGAATCGCTTTTTTCTGGAGGGTCTAAACTTAATGTGACACAAGTGCCAGGATTTTTAAGATTTAAAGTCATTTTTTATTTGGTTGTTCTGCACCATCGTTAAAGCATTCATTGAAACTAGTGTGACTTGACTGGAGGTCTTTGGTTTTTGTGTAATAACCAAGTTAGCTTTTACCAGTTATCTCATTAGTCCACATAAAATGTAGAACGTCTACATGAAAGGGCTGGAGTAATTCATGTGTTCTCCTTGTTTCTGCTAATATTTCCTTCATATTTTCAATTTTTTTACTATGGCATATTTCAATTGAAATCACCAATCTTGGACAAAGCCGTACTATTAACACAATGCAACAATGTTTACATGATTGATCCATATATAATGGACTAATGCGTTTGCCTAAACAGACAAAAACAAAAAACATGTCCTTGCTACTGTTTTGTTCTTCATTTGGTTTCTTCTTTTTTTTACATAATATTAGGTGATGTGAATGTTAATCAAGAAGAATCCCTATGAGTGATTTAATCATTAGAAAAAGCTTAATTTGGTAAATGCATGTCCAGACTGATTTACACCAGCAGTTCACCATGTCTTACCTTAACTGGCTGTTATAAATAAGGCCTGATTTCACTTAATGTATGTGTATTTGATACTGACTGATATTTAATATGTGTTACATATTTTACGAGTTTACTATGATTGTGTGTAAATATGAATTGCAAAGCATGAAACAAGATGAAATTCAATCTATATAACAGAAAGCTAAGCAAAATATTTTATGTAAATGTGAACATTTGAACTTTTTTTGTGCTACTGCCTTCATGTCATGACATAAAATAAATATTCTATTTTCACTAAGTAGTGAATCATATTCCTAATCAATGTTGTGCATTCTTAAGTGATTATATCGGAACATCATAAGAATACGTGTTATTGGAAGTGTTAGTACTGTTAGTAGTAGTACAGGCAGGCAGTTAGTATTTCAAATTCATCGTAGTTAACTGCACTAAAACTTGTTTTATTTTTGTTATACTATTTTTAAAGGTACCCAATCTGATCATTTACCACACTTCCGGTTTTCCGGTTATTACTTCAAAATAAAACTTACAAAATAGACATACAGATTCGCACTGTGAACACAACAGTAGGAAGAACTTTCAGGATTGTACCGATGTGGACCAGATCACGGATCCATGACAACTTCAATTAAAAAGAGTCAGATAATTTAAAACATAATCCGTTAAAACTGAGAGTCAGGAAGTGTACAATTGCGGCATGACTGTCTGAGTTGTTACAGGATTGTTGTGCTGTGTCGTTGGGCGTATTGCTTTGCATGTTGAAGGCGGAGCAGCTACAGAGGATCTAACGTTAAACGTATTGGTGATACTTTTACATTGGAAAGGGCGAGACCACCCTGCTAACCGTAAACTAGCTTTAATATCTAGACATAAACACCACCACTCTCTTCTGTGAGACCTACAACGCTTCACATCTAACGGTACGTTTGAATTTACTTGTCTGCGGAATGTAATGTGCTGACCAAAGTAGTGGCCAATTTACCAATAAGCATTTTAGATACTAGCCAAGTTAGCTTGCTAAGGTTAGCTATTGCACTTTCTCCTTTGCTCTTATCCTCCCTACCGGCTAACGTTGAACGTCATTATGTGTCACATTTTCCACAATACGTTACTTGTTGTTGGCGTTACTGGTTCACTCGAAAATGTCAGAATGAGGCACCACACTTTTGTATATATTTGTATGACGCTAGCTCTTCTCTATATTACATGTTTGAAGCTCAGCACTGGGTAAAGCCATGGTAAAGCTAACTGTGTTGACAGCCATTAAAACGAATTATAACGTGCCTCATCGTAGTAGCGTCATTGCGAATTGCACACATTTGTAAAAATAACCAACTGCATGCCAACCTCACAGGGCTAACTAATCCTGACTAGCATCTTCACAATTCATACCATTTAAGTGTGTGCGTAAACAAGCCTAAATAATACGTTTGAACATGTTATGTCCACACTGTTATGTCCCTTCATGTCTATGTTGCTTCTCCAGCTCATTACCAGGCAGACATGGCTGCTACTCAATGTGTAACCAAGGTGGAGCTGACTGTGTCCTGTGAGAATCTTCTGGACAAGGACATCGGCTCAAAGTCTGACCCCATGTGTTCCCTGTTGATGAGCAGCACTGACTCCCAGTGGTATGAGGTCAGTAGGATGCCTGAATCTGGATTTATTTTATATCAGTGAGCTTCAGATGTATTGTTTATATTATTGAACTGTTGTAAAAATGTCATTGGGTCTGAATCTCAAACATATAACACTCAATATTAAAAACCATGTATTATTATTATGAAAGGCAAAATTGTATTCCTATGAAAATCGTCTGGTTTAATTGAAAGGTTTTTAACCTAATTCATTTGACCTAGGTGAGGCAGTTGGTACTATTGCTCTTGCAACAGAAAATCACATAGCAGTGTTAATGGTTAACCCCCCAATGGAACATTTAGTGTTGAGTAAAGAAGTATTCACTCATCCATTTCCTGTTTCGCCAGTGCATATTTTCCAATACATCCTTCTTTTTTGACATATGGATCTCTTGAAATGTATGCATGACAGTTGCAATCCAACTTTTCCTAACAGGTGGGACGCACTGAGCAAGTCCAGAATTGCCTGTGCCCAAAGTTTGCAAAAAAGTTTGTCATCGACTACTACTTTGAAATAGTGCAGAAACTGAAGTTTGGGATTTATGACATCGACAATAAAACTATCGACCTGAGTGACGATGACTTCCTGGGGGAACTGGAGTGTACGCTGGGCCAGGTGAGGCTTTTGGCTCTTTTTCTTCACACTACATGTATGTAAGTCGTCCTTGAGCTTCAAAAGACAATGAATACTTTCACTTTCACTTTTAATTTGGACATTTCTGATTTTAAGTTATCAACAGTAAAAGGGTTGTTGATAAACTGACTTCACAATCCTATCAGGCACATAGGTTTATGAGTGGTAGGATAACATATAAGAGCTATGATACACATCAATATTTACCATCTCTGATAAGCGGGCTGTGTAGGCTTTCTGTGTAACATGACCCCATATGTGTATTCTGCCAGTTTGTTTTGGATGTGGTGTGCCTCATCATCTGGAGGCTGCTGTTTTGATTACCAACCTATTTATTCAACTGCTGCTTCATCTTTTACCTCTACTTCTTGTTTTTTTAGGTTGTGTCCAGTAAAAAACTGACCCGACCCCTTCTCTTGAAGAAAAAATCCCCTGCAGGAAAAGGGACCATCACAGTGAGTGTTGGAGAGAGCCACAAATAAATATTGCAATTCTTTCCTTCTGTTATTTAATTGGTTCTTTATTGTGCTGTAGATCAGTGCAGAAGAAATCAAAGATAACAGGGTGGCCAATTTTGAAGTTGAAGCAAGAAAACTTGATAACAAGGTGAGTGTGATTCTTGCATTCCTTTTTACACATTTTAGTGCATTTTTCTAATTGATGTGTCTCATTACTTTCATAATTTCCAGGATTTCTTTGGGAAGTCCGACCCTTACCTGGAATTCTACAAGCAGACAGCAACTGGATGGCAGCTGGCTCACAGGACCGAGGTATACACAGTATTCTGATATCAATGTTTGATTTCTTTCCTGTCATAAATAAATCGACCCCTTTCCCAGAAGGGGATAGTACAACTCTATGAAGATAAACAGTTTGTATTACCTGGTCGGTTAAACTCCCATTTATCAGGTTTCATTCATTAGGCGCATTCACACCGCAGTACTTTTCCCACAAAGGTTAATGAGAACTTAGTTCATCAGAACTCTTTAGTTCTGATGAACTAAGTACAGATCGCGTTCACACCGGAATAAATCCCTGGGGAAGGATTAGGCAAATGAAGCCGGTGACGTCACTTCTTCTTCTTCTGCTTTGGGTTTACTGGCAGGCCGCAAACAACTTCACGGCGTATACTGCCGCCGAAGTCCCCGGCCGGAAGTCAGCTTCTACTGAAGCCTTCCGAGTAAATCGACAGAACGCCGACACCTCCTCATCTCCACCGCTCCCATGTTTTTTTTGTGTTGCCATAAGTTATTCTCTCTCCGT